ACATGGCTTCATGTGGTGCATCTGCCCTGCGTGCAATGCATGCCTGTGTAAACGATATGCACTGCATGCTGACGACCAAGTTGCAACTTGCCTAGCTCCATGTGGCTGTTCTTCAAAAGAGCGACTTGGGCGGCATCCGCTTCGATCAAATTGTGCACTTTCAACTCCTGGCCCGGAGCAGTGGCCGATGAACTCGATGCAGCCGTGGCATTCTTCTGCAACTCTGCAGCAAACAACTTCGCAATGTCTTGGTAGCTGTCGAAACCTGCTGGCTCCCTACCAAGCTTCTCCTTGTTCGTCAGCTTCAGAATGAGTCGAACAGCCAGTCGGCCATAGGCGCCGACTCGTGCGGCTTCGTCGAGTCCACAGCTTTGAAGGAGTTCCCAGCTATCTGCCAGCATTTGCTCCACCTCATCCACTTGCTCTCTCATTTTCATGTCTTTCAATTTATCGGCGTCTGCTTTCACCAGAATTCTGGAGATGCCGTCCTTTTGAACCGTGGATTGCATCATGGTGGACCACGTTGCCAGCCGCAGAAATGGATAGAGCCCCGTCGAATTCTTCATTTCCAGGAAAGCCAGGCATCGCATCATGTCTTCGCCAATCATGACGAAGCCGTGCAGCTTTCCTCGGCAACCAAGCAAAGCTTTTCCAGAGCTTGTGGAAAGTGCATGATCTGCAAGCTTCGAAGCCCAACACATAGCCATCTGGAGGCTGATATTCAGCAACACCCAGGCTCAGTGAGACACAGCCATGTCAGGCTTTATAAAACTCCCAAACATACAGAAATTAAAAAGCTTTCCGAAATAAAAAGCCCTTGGTTGCATAGATAGCCACAGGAAGGCTTAGCACACATCTGCAACCAGGAACCTGCTTTATACGTAGGCTTTGAAGCGGTTCCTATATCGTCGACGACAAGCTATATGCAGCCGGCCAGCCGAACCTGCCGAGGAAGTCGATCAGGGGCATGTTCTCACCGCCGCCGAAATGCGAGGCATAGAAGCCAATCGCATCGAGGCTTGCCTTGCACAAAGGCTCCGAGGCTCGCACCTCCTCAATCGCTTTCTTCAAGGTCAGCCCGTTGCGAAGACCGAGGGCAAGCTGGGAAGCGGCCTCGATTTCGTTCATTTGCTTGAGGTTCGCCGCATGTGCATTGAGTGCCAAGGAATAAAACCTTGGGAGGTCGGGGAATGCCGCTTCCGCCGCCTGCTCCAAAACGTCCCTCAAAGCGGGCGACTGATGATCAATCAGCTCAGCACTGGCAGGCGAAGTCTTGCCGGCAGCAACCGCCCGGAAGAAGCTGGAAGTGTGAGAAGCCCCTACAGCCAAGTACCGTTCACTGCCAACTACCGGGGCCAGAAGCTCCGGGTGTGACTGCACGAGCTGCTGGTTGGCGAGAAGCTGCCTCTTCTTCACATCATCCGAGTGGCCGATTGCGAAGCATACAGAGCCGGACAGCAAATCTTTCTTGATTCCAACTTGCAGAAGCTTGGCACCCTTCGTGTGCACGTCCTCTACCGAGAGCATCTGGCCACCGCGATTCTGCGGGTGCACCAGTACCTCTTGCGCACGGACCACTGTCTGCCATGCCAGACCAGCCTGCCTGAGGATGGATGTCACCTCGTCCAGCTTCTCAAGCATAGGCTTCGTGGATTGCAAGGCATGCTTCACCGCCGCCTCAACTTGAGCATCCACCACCGAAGCCATGCTCCCAAGGCTGAAGGCGAAAGACTACACGAAAAACTCCGAAGACTTCGAGAGCTTAAGATTGCAGCATATGAATACCAACTTCCGCCGAAAGCTATGGGCAGCTTCATGAAATAAAAGGAATATCGGCAAGGCATGAATCAGCCATAAAGGCTTCAATACAGCAACAGCCAATCGCAGGCTTTTTTTTTCGAAACAACCATCCCCATTAGGAATGGTGCACATGCCCGGAAAAGCGGAACTAGCCTCGCAGAAAGATAGCATCGCATGCTATGCATAATTCTTCAACATATGCTTGCTCAACCTTCTACATTTCAGGAGCCAGCATGGCTATATGGTTCCCAACAAGTTTTGTTCGTCGGCCTGCCTACCAAAAGAAGCACTTCCATGCCTTCGGCATGGCCCCACTGTCTCATCGGCAAGCCACTGCCAAAGTCTCAATCTCGCAAACCCAAAGCAAGATGACCTACTTCGGCCATCCTGCTGCAAGCAACTCGCATTCTGCCAAATCCAGAATTTTTCCGTGCATCTATGGCCCTGTGCATTTGCCGTGCGGCTGTCAGAGCTTGTTTTGGAAAGGAAATTTGCCTATGTTGTTTTCTTACACCAGAAAAAAGTACAGTGGGAAAACCAAGTGCATGCCATGAAAAAACATGATTTCGTTATTCTATTTGGCTGAAAGACATGTTAAACATAAGCAATGAAAAAAGATACTAACTAGTTAACTCGGGATTAAATAAATAACATAGATACAGCATGATACCTATACTTTAATAAAAAGATAATAACTGCCATAACATTCTATGTGGCTTATACATAGTTACAACATACTTATAATATACTTACAATATACTTACATACTAGTTAATACTTTGTTAGTTTCTCTTGTAACAAGGCAATGTACTTCTAACACCCAGGCCCATGAAAGTGAACTCCTGCGTGCATCGGTGTATAACGCTGCGCAAGAAAAACTCACGCCCAACTTAAGATTCGTGCTTCGCGACAAGGCCCATGCGTCGCGCCGAGTCACAACACGTCCTTGGACAGCAGACACGCAACTTCAAGAGGTGCTGCGGTTCATGTGCGGCGGCCGTTTTTCTATAGCCAGACTGCTGAAGCACAGCCCAGAGATAAAGCGGATGTGTGTTGGGTTCGCAGTTGGGCCAGACAGTAGCGAACTTTCGCGCTGCTGCTCATCGCTTTGAGTCTCACAGCAAACCACTGGGACGGACTTGCTTGTGTCTGCGCCCTTGTGTGCAAACCGCATTGCGGCTGTCATCGGCCCGCACAGACAGCAGTGCCAAGATAGCACGTGCGTGGCTTCTCTGGCTCACGGAAGAAAAAGTGCTACGGGCTTCGATGCTGGCTGATGCGGCCGACAGCTCACTTCGGCTGACTCGGCTGATGGACGCTGAAGATCTCGATCCTGCGGGGTTGAGCCGGGAAGTCGGACTTTATTTAAACTCCATAAAAGCATTGTTCGTGGACGGCAATTCTTCACTGAGTTTGGCTACACAGTGACAATGCTGCAAAGCCTTTCTCGGCCCTTGGTGTTTCAAGTGTCTGGGCGGACGAAAACTTTAGGGGACACGTCTGGAGTTTACCAAGATGTGAAACAGAGATGCTTGGCGAGGATGGCGGCTTGGGTGAGGCTGGCAGAAGCAACCCTTGCCGGCGAATTCCCTTCTTTCGAGATCGCCCAGGCAGGTCCGTGCATCTTTCAAATAAAGTAGAATGGAGTTTTATTTAAAACTTCTGATCCGTTCCGAAGCTGGTTAATAAATTATACAAAGCAATATGAATGCATATGTATGAATCATACATATTATAGCGTTCTCGTGTTTAAGTTACGTACGCAAACATCATACATTCCAAGGCCTTTGAGGTTTTCAACCTGGACGGTGGCTCCAACAATGCAGAGGAGAAGCTTGCCCGTGTCGCGCAGGCTTGTGACTTGCCCACAGCAACCCTGCAGTCTCAATGGAAAGACATGTTTCCGCGAGCTGAGCAAGTTCTGAAACGCGCGGAGGGGACTGAGAATGTCGAAGCTCGCAATCGAAACAAGCACGCGTGGGCCTTGGCTTTTCAACGTTTGCAGGACCATCGTGGTAGCGCAGCAACCCATCCTTTGGACGTGCTGCAGAAAGCATTGGTGCAATATCTCGCGTTTGGCGGCAGCAGATCTGGGGTGGAACAAAACTTTGCCAAAGCTGCGTGGGCATTCGGATGCAGGCGAAGACGTGCTGAGCCTTCCACAGAGGAGACCATGGTAAAGCTTGCGTTGGACATATCAGTTCAGACCAGCCAATCGGACGTCATCGCTGCAGCTAGAAACTGCTGGTTGCGATGCTTTGGGTCGCCTCGCAGACGCGGAAAGGCTCGCATCGACAAGGGTCTGAAACGTAAACTAGAAGACCCTGGCCCTGAGAAGGACATTATTAAAAACCTTACCGAAGCAGCCTTCATCCGCAAGCGTCGCCGGGCAGCGTTGCAAGCAGGGGAGCAACGTAGTGCTGCGGCTGCTTCGGCCCGGCCGCAGCACCTGACCCTGGCCAGACGCTCTGGACCGAGCGGCATGAGCAAGAATTGGAGAAGCAACAAGAAAAACTTCGCGAGAGAAAAGATTCAAGCGTGCGCTGAAAAGACTTTGCTGGAACGCGAAGAAGATGAGGCTTTGCAAGAGCAGGTGAGGACGCGTCGCAGGAAAATGCTACAGAATGAAGCTGCCCGGCAAAAAAAACACAGGCGCATGTTGCAACTGGAGCGAGGTGGCCCCGCAGCGGAAACCCTTGAACAATTACGGGGTAAATCGGTTTTTCTGGCTGTTCCGGCCCGGCTAACGTAGACTTGAATTTCAACATGGCTGCAAAGCGGCTGCACCGCACGATGGACGCCACCAAAGCCGAAGTTTTTGCGTGCTCAAAGCCAAGGGAGCCTCAGCGATTGCCGACATGGACTGATTTCGGGTTTGAAGGCTGCTATGAAACGACGCCCAACTTTTGGGCATTTCTCAGGCCTATTTTGCCCAGGGGCACAAGTGGATCATGCACACCACCGGCTTGGCTGCCATGGCTGCAGCGCAAGGACGTTTTTGTCAAGGACTGGCTTGGCTCGTCGTCGCCGCTGCAGAACTCGAAAACCCAGAGACTTGGACGCTTTGTCGTATTGTTTTTCTGTGCACTGAGCATCACGTACTGCAGGCTTTTGAAGATCAAAAAGAGAGTGCTTTGTCACAAGAGGGTTATGAGCCCAACGCTGCCTTCGTGAAGAAGGTGGTAAGCCGTTGGTGAGCCATGGCAGGCGAAGCAGGCCAGCATGAGGTCCCGGTGGAGGGAGGGTCGGCTACGCAAGATGAGGACCAGGGCTTGCCTCGGGCGGTGGATGGGTCTTTGGTGGTGGATGAAGCCAGAGTCGCTGAAGTGCGGGTCGATGAGGACGTCCATGAACCTGACTACGGCGGCGCTACAGGGCGTTCGGATGCGGCGCACGGAAGCCACGGAAACCATGAAGGGTCGTCAAATCCGCTTTTGGAGTTGACTGACCCTTCCGCTGGTAGGCAGCGACCGGTACCGGATGCCCTGGATGATGGTTTGGCGCGAGAGCAGGCTGTGGCTGGAGAGCTGGTGGAAGCTCAGCTGCAGATGACTGGTACTACCAGGCCAAGCTCGCGTGAGAGAAGGAGTGAAGATGTTGGACAGGTGGCCCGTTCCCTGGCCTATATGACTTCACTTGTGACCACGTTGGTTGGAAGGATGGAAAGAGTGGAACAAGCCCAGTCGAGGACTGGGTCTAGTGGGCGAAGGACTATGACATCGACGTCTGCGAGGATGGAGACGCCTATGGGCGGGACGCCAGAAGCTGGTACTGTCGGGTGGATGGACCTCCATCGTCTGGGTGAGCGTGTGGCTCATATGATGATTGAGCCCCAAGCTCCGGCTCCTCTGGAAAGACCACTGGCTTCTATGGACTCCATCTTTGCTGGAACCTTCAGTTCTGATGACTCGGAAACTGCGAGGATGAGAGCGGCTCAGGATGGGCAGCTGCGTGGAGTGCCGGGGGCGCTGTTGGGGCCGCTAGCAGCCCCGTTAGGACCAGTGGTTTTGCCGCGGGGTCCCGATGTGGGTGGTGTTCTACCTCTTCGCGATGCACCTTTCGAGGTTTTGGATCCAGGACCCGCTCAACAGTCGGTGCAGTTGTCAGGAATGCCGCAAGGATCAACTCAGCAGTCGGCGCAGTTGTCAGGAATGCCGCAAGGATCCACTCAGCAGTCGGCGCAGTTGTCAGGAATGCCTTCAGGATCCACTCAACAGTCGGTGCAGTTGTCAGGAATGCCTTCAGGATCCACTCAGCAGTCAGTGCAGTTAGCGGAAATGCCTTCAGGATCCACTCAGCAGTCGGTGCAGTTGTCAGGGATGCCTTCAGGATCCGCTCAACAGTCGGTGCAGTTGTCAGGAATGCCTTCAGGATCCACTCAGCAGTCGGGGATGCCGTTGAGAATGCCTCAGGGGTCTAGTCAGTCGCTGGTGCCCTTACCAAGTATGCTTCAGGTGTCAAATGGACAGACAGGTGGGCCGCCGATTGTTTCCAGCGAGGGAGCTTTGTGTGGTCGGGATCAAGAACTGGAGCGAGTCGAAACTCCGTTTCAGAGTGTGGCATCTGAGAATCCTCGGGCTTCAACATTGGACGCTCATCCCTCAGTACCTCCCGGTTTTGAGGGTAGCCGGACGCAAGGCATGGTGATGGGAGCTCCTGCGACGGGGCTTGTGTACGTGGATGGAGATTGGAGACCGTATATGATGGTGCAGGGGCAGATGGTGATCCAAGCGGTTGAGGCAGCAAGAGCGTCGGTGGTTGGTCTCTCTTTGGCCGCCCCGACTTACGCTCCCGCAACCTCGCTTGAACCAAGCCATGGGGCGGTTGGAGGGGCACAGCCTCCCCCGCCGCCGCCTCCGCCAAGGTCTCCTACGACACCGAGAAGGGGGACAGCAATGGGCAACAATGCTACGCCGGGTGGGACTCCGATTCCTCCACCCCCACCTTCTACGCCAGCGGCTCCAACGTCTGGGATGGGGACAGCGACTTCTCCAGGAGAAGTGGAGGAGCCGAGCAAGCTGGTGATGAAGTTGCCACCATTGGTGGCCACAAAGGGAACAGATGCAGCAGTGGTGGCGGGAGATTGGTTGGCTCAGTTGGAGCCAAGCATGGCGAGTTTGAGTAGCACGGCGGCGGCATGGTGGCAGCAAATCATGATGAAGGTTACGGACCTTTACCAGAAATGGCTGGAGTCCACTCCTGTGGACCGTTTGCAGATTCGGCAGAGCGTGCTGGCAGATCGCCCCCCGGTGGATCGTTATCAACGAGTGGAGCAGCGGGCCTCTATGTTGTTACTTGACAGTCTGCCGGAAGACCTCAAGGCCGAAGCGGTTTCAGTCAGGGCGGTCACAGTTTTGGCAATGGTGTTCTTGGTGCACTGTTCCTTTCAGCCAGGCGGGTCGGCAGAGAAAGCCTTTCTTCTTCACTTCTTGACGTCTCCAGACACAGGGGGCGCTGTGGATGTGGCGGTGGCGTCGATTCGTAAGTGGATTCGTCTACTTCGGAGGGGAAAGGAGCTTCAAGTTGTACTACCCGACCCGAGTCTCCTTTGTCGAGGGCTGGACAAGCTTCATGCTCAGGTGTTTACCCCCAGTAAACACCCTAGCGCTGCGTTCAGGATCGCCAGCTTCAAGTTGGAGCGTCAGCTGGACTACAAGGCGAAGGCCTCAGATGTGGAGGACTACGCTCAGCTGATCTTGGGAGAGTTGGAGGCGGCACTGTTGGCCCAGCCCATTGCGCAGCAGCCGAAGCTCAATCGCATGGAGGAGACCAACCTCAATGACGCAGGGGACAAAGGAAAGGGGAAGGGCAAAGGAAAAAGCAAGCAGCCATGTTGGTCGTGGAATGATGGCTCGGGCTGCAAGTACGCACAGAACTGCATGTTTCGTCATGATCCCCTCGGGCCAGGTCGTTGTTGGACATGTGGCAGCAGCAGCCACCTCAAGCCTCAGTGCCCGTACCACGGGCAAGGGGGGGGAACTTCATCGGTGGCTACAGCTGGGGAGTCAAGAAATTCGTCTACGCCTTCGGCACCCCCCCCTTCGAGCTCTACTACAACTCCAGAAGGAAAGGGCGGCTTGGAAGAAAAGCCAGCGAGAAAAGGGAGGAAAAAGGGTGGTGGAAAAGCAAAAGATGCTGTGCGAAAGGTGGAGGATGCTCCGTCTGAGGGGGGCTCTACGACAGCGGCTCAGGTGACGGCGGTGAATGGGACTGCCCCAGCACCATCCATGGAGTCGGCAAGGGACGAGTTCTTCGAGGAGGCCGCGAAGGCTTTGAAGTCGTTGAGGCTAGCTCGGGCGACTTTGGATCGGGTTTGCGCTCTCGGCGAGGACGGCATGTCGGCCTTGGTTGACTCAGGTGCTACTACATCGATGAGGTCGGCTACAAGACACGAGTTGGCCGGGCTCCCAAAGCGCAAGGTGCTGTTAGCCGAGGGAGAAGCTGTGTTCTACCAGCTACCTGGCGGCACTCTTCTTACGGAGCGGGAGACTTCGCCCATCCTGGCGATGTCGGATCTCATGGCCATTGGCTGTCGGATTTCGTGGTGTACGGGGGAAGGCTGCAGAATCGTCCACCCGGTGAAGGGTGATTTGCAGACCCGTGTGGTGAATGGATGTCCAGAGGTGGATGCCCATCTTGGTCTTGAACTGATCGGCGAAGCTGAAGCAACCAAGCTTCGGAGGCGAGAGGCAGAACTCGCTGTGCGCAAGTTGGTGGATACTTGCAGGGATAAGCCAATGATGGATTGGAGTTTGGGATTGAAGGCAGTTCGAGACCTTCGGAGCGGTGTGGGAGTTTCGTGGGCTTGGCTGCGTCGTCTCTTCCCAGGTGCCCCTTCGTGGTTGATATCTTCGGTGCCAGTGGTGGCGTCGCTGGATGGAGCAAAGGTGCCATGGAATCGTCGGGAGCGGAAGCGGTGGAAGCAGGCTTCGGCGATTGGAATCCATCTTTTCTGTGGGAAGGACCGTCAGACTTGGAGGTCGTCTGCGGAGGCGGCCTGTGTGGTTACTGTGGATCAGGCGGAAGACATCATGGCGGATGACACGTATGCGGCGCTCCTCGACTTGGCGCTCACGGGCAAGGTCAAAACGGTGTTTGGCGGCCCTCCTTGTCGCACGTTCTCAGCTTTGCGAGGTCATGGTCCAGAAGACGGTGGACCCAGACCACTTCGAACTCGCGAGGGTGAAGGCCGCTGGGGGCGAGATGATTTGAGTGAGTGGGAAACCTGGAGGGTGCGGCAGGACAGCATCATGATCTTTCGGATGTTGTTTCTTTGGATGGTGTCGGCCGTGGTGGCAAGGGAGGCGGGTGAAAGGCTCCCAGACTTTATCCTGGAACATCCCGAGGACCCCAAGGAGTTCATGGACGCGGCTACTCATGGTGAGCGTCGGGAGTGGACCTCGTTGTGGGCTTTTCCAGAAGTGCAGTTCATTAAGGAGGAGCTTGGCTGGCATTGGTGGCAGTTTGATCAAGGGCCTCTAGGACATCCTCGCCGGAAGCCGACAAGGGTGCTATCATCAGTACAGTGCCCGCGGGAGCTTCATGGTGTACGTGGACCTTCGGTGGTCTCCGAGGAGGAGTGCGACCATGATGGGGGTGGGTTTCGCTCATCTTCGTGGGCGTCATGGGCACCCCAGCTGAAGCAGGTCATCAAAACCGAGGTGGAGCTGAGTTTGGCTGGAGCCACCTTGGAGCGAGTGATGAAGCTGGACAATAGCTTCATGGAGCACCTCCAGCGGGATCATATTCCGTATCGTCGAGACTGCAAGGCGTGTTTGGCCGGCGCTTTTCGGGGGCATGTTCATCGCCGGATTGTGGCCCCGGATGCTTGGTGTCTTTCGCTGGATTGCATCGGTCCTGCCAAACAAGGTGAAGACGAACTCTTGAAGAGAGTGAAGTATGGCTTGATTGCTACTTTGGCAGTCCCAGATGTCCTTGGCAAACTCCTTCAGCCAGCAGAACCGGGTGACGAAGATGACGGAGGCGGTGTGGGACCGGTTCTGGACGAGGACCCGCTCTACGAGGAGGACGCTGATGCGGACGATGAGGGCGAGCCCCAAACGGCTGCCGAAAAGGCCCGCGGGGAAAAGCAAGAGGCCAAATGGGAGGCTATGGCTGCCAAAGAAAAGGTTGAGAACGTGACCATGGTAGAAGTTCCGTTCTTTGTCCCGCTGGCATCCAAGGCGGCCCCGGAAGTCCTCGCGGCCACTAAAGAGATTCTTCTTCAGGTTCGGCGTCTGGGCTTGGTGGTTCGAAGGATACACACCGACTGCGGCAGAGAGTTTGTCAACAAGTCGTTCCGGGCTCTATGTGCGGATCGGGACATCGTTCGCACCACCACGGGCGGGGACAACTTCAAGTCCAATGGACGTGTTGAGGCACTGGTTGGCAGAGCCAAAAATGCAGTGAGGACGCTCTTGAGCGCTTCGGCCTTGGGATCCCAATCTTGGCCCTTTGCTATGAGGCACTATGTGGCTCGCATTCAGTGGTCGGTTGTCACTCAGCTTGGCGGTCGCTATCCTCGGCTACCACCTTTTGGGACCAAGGTCTTTGTCAAAAAGAGATCTTGGAAGATGCTGAAAGAGGACTTCGTGGAGAAGGTCGTTGCGGCGCGGATCCTGTGTCCCTCACTGGATGTGGCCAGAGGCTTTCTGGTCAAGACGGAGGATGGCAGCTATCTCACTACGATGGTGGCCGTCGAAAATGTCAAGGAGGTGTCGGGAGAGTTTGTGGTGGAAGCGCCGCCGGCTCCCAGTGGAGCGCCGGGCACTCGACATCGCATTCGCGGGAAGTCTACCATGGCTATTGCCAAGTGCCAAGAGGAGTACCTACGGAAGGTGGACCCCCAGCACGAGGAGCACCTCATCCAGGATGAGGAGCTGGCGGAAACGTTTCTCGAAGCTGAGGACTTCTCTCCGGCCGCGGTGGAGGAGCTGATGAAGGCGCTGTGGTTGAGTGAAATGGCGGTCCCTAATCGTCGGGGAAAAGCCTTCGAGGATCGGGCTAAGGTGTCCGCGCACGTGCTGGGAATGTTTCGCCATGGAGGAGTATGTGGGAGCTACCAACTTGGTGCGTCAGCGGCCGGCTTTGACTAGGTTTTTGGTCAAAGCCATGAAAGCTCAGTTGCCACCTGGGGCCACGTTTACTACGCTGGCTATCAACTTCAACGTGCCGATGCAGTGTCACCGCGACAGCAACAACAAGCCAGGTGAGAATGCCTACATCATGGGAGTGGGTGACTATGCTGGTGGGCAATTGTGGTGTCATGCGGAGCCGGCCGGCAACGACAATCTAGTTTGGAAAAAGTGCGGCAACAAGTGGCTCCCGGGGCGACTTCTTGATCTTTATCACCAGGCAGTTCCTTTCAATCCACGTGGTCTACATCAACCTCAGCCGTGGCAAGGTCACAGAATCACCATCAGCGCCTATACGGTCAACTGCGCGGAGAACTGTTCTCAAAGCAATCTTGATCTACTACAAGCACTGGATTTCCCGCTACCGCATGAGCAAGTTCAGGCGCCGCCTGAAGGAGGAGGAGTTGCGGTGCGTGGTCAGCGGGGTGCCGTGGTAGGAGGTGCCACAAAAAGTTTGCTTCGGTCAAAGGGAGCTTTGAGGGCGCTGTGTGCGGAGTTTTCGTCGCACGGTGAGTGCGGAGAGGATAGCTTGGTTCCGGGGGAGCAGCAGACCTTGGAATCTCATCAAGTTGCTGGCGGTGAAGGTCAGGACTGTTTCTCAACAGGCGATAGCTTGGTTCCGGGGGAGCAGCAGACATTGGAATCTCCTCAAGTTGCTGGCGGTGAAGGTCAGGGTGTTTTTCAGTGTATCTGCAAAGGCTACGAGGTGGACCCGTCTCTATGTGTCTGTAGGATGACTGCAGTGGAGTCAAGTGGTGGTCCGCAGAGGTTCTACATTGGAGACCAGGCTCCAGATCTTCGTGAAGGACACGGTGGTGATGGATATGAAAGCTGGTTGGAAGAAGCGTGGGGGGCGTTTGGACCGCCCGAAGTGCCTCATCTCAAGTCCTTGGGCGACGAGGGTCAGGACCTGTACCAGATCGTGGGTTCGGAGGTTCCACTGGAGGTGGGATGGGATTTGCTCAGCAGCTATGTTGACGAGCTTCGTGTGGCGTTGGTTCAGGAAGAGTATGCTGAAAGGGAGCATTTGCTGAGCCGAGGTGAGGATGGAGATGATGTTGGGGGTTCATTAGCTCAGTGGATTCACAGTCGGCAACATCTGGAGGATGTTCTTCGCCTGTATCAGGAGCCGGAGGAGGAAGAGGTTGGGAGCTCGAAGCTTCGAAAGATCGAGGGCCTGGATGACGAGGTCCCACTCCACACCAAGACGATCCCCAACGAGGCGGTGAGGAAGGAACTCCAGCGATGGGCGCCCAGCATGGCGGCTGAGTATGAAGCACTCATTCGAGAAAATGAGGCGGTGGAACCTTTCCCGGAGGAGACGCTGGAGCAGTGGAGGAAGGAAGGACGAGAGTTCGATCTCGTGCCCGGGAAGACTGTGCACACCATCAAGGCGTTCGCCGGACGTTTGAAGACGCGGGCAGTGATCTGTGGCAATTTTCTTGGGCAGTGCTTTACCAAGGCTCAAAAGTATGCTGCCGGGGCGGACAGTGTCTTGATTCGTCTTCTACTACGAGAAGTTGCTTTACGACGTTGGAGGGTATGCGTCATTGACGTTCGGACTGCTTTCCTGCTTGCCCCGCTGCTGTTCCAGGACTCCAGGCCCACGTTGGTGATGGTTCCGAAGATGTTTCTCATGGCTGGGATTTGCAAGGAGACTGTTTGGAGAGTGAAGCGTGCGCTGTATGGCATGGTGACTTCGCCAAGGAGCTGGGAGGTCTATCGGAACCAGACGATGGCCAAAATGGAGGGCAGCATCAAGGAGGGCAAGGTGTCGCTGAGGCCCTCGGAGGTGGACGGGAGCCTATGGTATGTGATGGTCGGGTCGCGCCGTGCGGGTGCGGTGGTTTGCTACGTCGACGATCTCCTCATCGTTGGTGAGGACGAAGCAGCGGCCGAAGTGGCCGGCATGTTCAAGAGGACCTGGAAGTGCACCGAGCCTCAATGGGATGATGTTTCCTTCAATGGTTTCGAGATCAAGAAGACCGAGAATGGCCTGTTGCTCACCCAGGATAGCTATACCAAGGACCTCCTGGAGCGCTATCAGGACATCGAAGGCTATGAGGAGGTGCCGGCCCCGATCCAGCTGAAGTCGGAGGAGTTCGAGCTGAAGGATGGCGAGAAAGCTTCCGACTATGTGCGGGCTGCTCAGGTGATGGCGGGGGAAGTTCAGTGGCTGGCAGGAAGATGCCGACCTGAACTAGTGTATGCTACGAACTTGCTGTCGCAGGCCATCTCCAAATCTCCTAAGGAGGCGGTGTACCGTGGAGGCCATTTGCTGCGGTATTTGAAAAGGTTCCCTGCTGGAGGCCTGAAGTACTCCGTCTTGCCGGTCGTGGACAAGGAGTCTAGGACCTCTGGAGAAGGGCCCTTTCTCGAGGGGTTCAGTGACGCGTCGTTTGCTCCAGATTCGGAGCGCAGTCAACAGTGTATCCTGATCTTCCTTGCGGGTGGCCTCATCGCGTGGACGAGTTCCCGCCAGCCTTTCGTGACGATGTCTACCGCAGAGAGTGAGCTGGTTGCAATCTGTGAGTTGGTCACGTGTATGAAGTCCATTGAGCACCTCGCTGCGGAGGTGATGCTGGGACACATGTCCGAGGTGGGCAAGGTTCGGAAGATCTTGTACAGTGATTCCCAGGCGGCATTGGCGGTGTGCCGTTGTGCAGCAGGCAGCTGGAGGACCCGGCATTTGCGGATCCGTGGTAACCTTGTACGTGAGCTGCTAGACCAAGATGACTGGACATCGTTCCACATTGATGGTCGAGTGATGACCGCTGATGTGGGAACTAAGCCGCTGGCAGCAGATCGTTTCCGGATGCTTGTGGATCGGATGCAGATGTCAAGGACCCGGGTTTCCCCAGAGACTGCCCCATCCGGGCGGACGGTACCGCCTCAAGTGGCAAAACGATTGGTCCTACTGCTGTGTGTGGCTTCTCTTGTGGATCAGGTCGAAGCTGCGGATGCGGAGGCGATGGACTATGCTTACTATGGCATGATGACGGCGGTGCTGGTGGCAATCCTCACGGTGTATGAGTTTGTAAAGTGGGCTGTCAAGGAACTGTGGGAATGCGGTCAAGGTCGAGCTCGTGGAGCGAGGCGTCCCCCAAGAACGACATCTTCCACCTCGAGCTCCACTGATGAGGAGGGTCCTAGATTGAGGTCTTCAATGACGGCCTCCCAGAGGCGCCGTCCCCCAGCACCTCCGGTTCCTGAGCCAGTCCTGACCGGAAACGACGAGGGCGCCTACAGTTTCATCGTTCCCAGTGGTGATCGAGATCGCTGGGAGGTGGATTATAAAAGGGGTGTGGCAATTCGCTGGCACGCCAAACCACGCCAGCATCTTTTTGTTCCCGGGCACTGTGCAGGAGGGCCTGAGCTAAGTCGCTTGACGGGCCAGAGATGCACCTACGCAAGGTTCCCCACCGGCGAGGTTCGGGTGCTTAGCGATAACTATATGACGAAGACCAAGCCCGCGCAGGTGCTCGCAGACCGTGAATGGAGGGGTCGCACGGAGCTTCAGATGCATCCCTCAGTCAGTGCCCCTGTATCAAGTGGCACAAAGAAGGAGCGCTAAGCCGCGCAGAAGCCTAAAGAAAGCCTTGAGTCTTACTTCAGGAGCCGTAAGTGCTCTGCGAGCAGTGGAGCTGCTCTGAGTCTTTTGATGTGCAAGGGCGGTTGATCCATTCAGCATAGTGCTGAAGGGGGAGTCTGTGCACTGAGCATCACGTACTGCAGGCTTTTGAAGATCAAAAAGAGAGTGCTTTGTCACAAGAGGTTTTATAATAGTCTATGTCTTGTTGCAGTCCGTCTGCGGTCCGTCATTCTCTAGTTTCTGGTCTGCTTGGGCTGTGCGACGATTGAAGAACGTCTACACCGTTGTCACCTCCGGGAAAAGCCCCGGCAGCAGGACACACTCGGGTCCAGCAGCGGCTTGTCATCGCTGTGAGTAGAAATGCTTTTGAGAGTCTATTTGAATCCCATCCTCCGGTCCTTGCTTGTCCTTGGAATTCAACTACTTCAAAGCGGTTCCCCGCAGCTTTTCTGTCAAGTGCCTGTCCTCCTGTCAGCAACGGCCTCAACTTCTCAGCTGCTTCGGCTGCATCTCCAGTTGCCACGGCTGGCCAGCCACCATGGTGAAACAATCTTCGAAAACGACGACGAAGAGGCCGAGAGTCCCAAGAGTGATCAAATTCGGTTCAGACTCCTCCGGGTTGGACAGTGCTTGGATTGCGCGGGATGCAATGCTGAAAATGTTTTTGCCAGCGACAGTGACCAAGACTGTCAGAAGTTACTGGCGGCGTTGCACAAATCGGGCACGTTGTTCCAGGATATTACAGGCCGTAAGCCAGAAGAAGAAGAACAGCACGTGGATCGGTACTGTTTCACGCCGCCGTGTCAGAGCTTTTCACTGGCTGGCAAGCTCCATGGCCTGAAAGACCCTCGTGGCAACCTGCTTAGTCACGGGATGAAATACACTCAAAAGCAACGACCCCGTGTGGTTGTCTTCGAAAACGTGCCCAATCTCGTGTCCAAAAAGTTCTTACCGGTGACACAAGGACCGGCAAAAAACTTTTAAAAAACTTGGATATGTCGTCAAAAGCAAAATCCTCAAGAGTGATCATTTCGGAGTTTCCCAACATCGCCGGCGATTGTTCATTGTCGCGATTCGCAATGACAGTTACTTGCGACCCATGGTCTGGCCGCTTGAGATTGCGGGCAAACGGGCGTTGCAGGACGACCTAGACCTGAGACAAGGCCTGTCGGCTGCTGCCCACAAGCAAGAACGGCCGAAAAATGGCTGCTTCGGCCTGTAAAAAGGCATGGGAATGTGGGGTTGACCCACGGAAAGTCCCCGTGGCTGTGGACGTAGACTGCTCTCTGCGATACGCCAATCGTCGGATTAACGCCGTGCCCGTGCTGACTAAAAGCAGGCGGTCCACTGGTGGTTTCTGGATGTCTCCGCGGGGAAGAAAACTGACCACCACGGATCTCATGCGCATTTCTGGCATCCGTAAAAAGCTTGCCGGATATCAGGATGCTGGGGTGAGGGATAGCAAGCTTGGTGGGATGTTGGGCAACTCAGTGCCGGTCCGTCTCGTGCAAGCTGTTCTTCAAAGTGCCATGACATGTGGTGGCTTGCTGTACGTTAAACCGAAGAAGAAAAACAGTGACGGTGCCATCCCCTGTAAGTTTTCTAGCCTGCTGAGCTGAACGGCTGCTTCAGTTGCCATTGCCTGGCCGTGCTGGTGGGCTGACGGCTCTACGAGCAGAAGTACGGCAAAGGCTCGGTTTTCGTCGTGAGTCGGGTCAACTTCCCGAGCCACGACCACTGGGTCGTGCGTTTCTGCAAAATCCAAAGGAATTGCAGACAAAATATCCTCCTTGTTACAGACCGGGAGCAGAAAGGTGAGTGTGCAAAGCACATCAACGCTGCCAGGGTGCTACATGGCACCCTTGGATGATGCAAAGCCACCTGGAGAAGCCCCGTGCTCTGTCAGGAGCCACCTGCCAAGTACAGGGGCAGGGGCCGAGACCAGGAGGGGATTGTAGTCTTCAAAGACTGGCTTGAGCTGGCGGCGATGCACCAGCTTGACATCACGGAGTTTTGGGATTTGGCGGAACTCCAGCCACGTGACGCACAAGTCGTCCAGGACATCTTCGCCAGCAGGCCAGCGAAGCTGCAGCTGCTTCGGCTGCACCCGCAAAAGTTCCGGCCCAGGCCAGTGAAGCTGCAGCTGCTTCGGCTGCGCCCGCAACATCGGCTGTTCCGGCCGAGGTGCCAACTCGCGCGAGGAGAAAGCGGCTGCTTCGGCCGCTGCAAAGCCCAAGGAGAAGAAGGAGAAAAAGGACAAAAAGAGAAGGAAGAAAATAACGAAAACAAGAAAAAAGAAGAAAAAGAAAAAGAAAAAAAGGAGCGACCGCCTGTGCAGCTAACACCTCGGCAAGGGTTCCACAAGGTGAGCTTGTCAAGCGAGCAGGAGTACGAGTACTACTCGGAGTCGTCCGACAGCCAGAAATACTCGCCTCGCTTTGTCGGGACTCAGGCGGGGCAGGCGTTAAAAATGGCTGCTTGCAAAAGCAAGGCCTTGGCTGCTTCGGCCGACCAGGACGACAAGATGCAGGAGGAGCACTTGACTTAGGAGGAGGAAGAGGAGGAGGCCGGGTGGGTACGAAAAGGGGAGGGACGCTACACAAGGCAGGAGGATGCGACGCCCTCCTCCTCGACAACACCAGTCTCAGAGTGTCTGAGCTTGGGCAGCTGGAAAAGACACGGGAGCAGCAGACGTGGCGGCTCGTGCTGCAAAGGACGCTTGTCAAGCAGCTCAAACAGCGGTGGCCTGGGCCAGTGGCAGGCCCAGGCTGCTTCGCCCTCGTCTTGGCAGTCTCACCGTTGTGCTCAGAGACGACATCCTGGGGCAGTCGTCGTCCAGACTCCCAATGGATGGCCGCTAAGAAAGCCGCTGGCTGCTTCGGCCAAAACGCCGGTAGAACAAAGGTTGAAGCTTGGCTGTTTCGGCCTTGGGTCCGCTTTGAGTAACCTGAGCCCGAGGCCATCGTGGCAAACGCGAAGACGAAAGCAAAAGCAAAAACAAAAGCCAAAGCTAAGGCTCTGACATCGCTGGGCTGCTTCGGCCACCAGCTTCGCAGACAACTCCGAAGGAAATACAAGAGTGCAGATGCACTGGAGCAAGCTCTGCGAGATTGCCCCTTCGCCCAGCTTCGAGGTGACCCAGCGGGGACGGTGCTCATCCACCGCGACGTCAAGAAATTTGGCGAGTCGGCAACGCAGCCGGACTTAAGGATCACGCCTTTGAGAGATGGCCCGTACGCACGGCTGGTGCGTTGCCTTCTGAAGGCTAGGTCGTCAGAAGGCGTTCCTGCGACGCTTCAGGCAGCAGAGGTGGCTTTAGTCTTGAATGGCGGCCGGCGTGGCAATGCCAACAAGCCGATTGCCCCCTGGCGGGAGGGAACCACGAAAGAGTAAAAAGAACAACAGTCTCAAAGCAACGATGCCGACGTCAACGAGGACGAAGACGCGGCTGCTGCGGCCGAGGACGACGAAGACCCCGACGATCGCCCGGGCTTGGTCTGTGACCTTCTTCAGATCGGGTACACAGAGGATTCCAGGAATGCCCGAAGTCAGCGTGTTCGGGGCACCTGCTCTGTGAAGCAAGTGGAATGGGCCCACGTTTTGAGCTGTTTGGACAACGAATGGAAGCTTCCGTGGAACGGGAAAAATCCCTCTACGGAAAAAAACATCACTGCCGTGGGGGGCAGACCGAGAAAGCGAAGCCGAAAAAAAAGGGTCAGCCCAAAACTGGGGAGGACGATGATGATGGTGATGTCAATCTGCTGGTCGATAATGAGGGCGCCGCGGGCCCTGAGTCCGAAGATCAGGGCATTGGACAAGACCTTCTCAAGGAAAAGGAAGCCCTTCGCGAGAAGTATGAAGAGCGTTCGCGTAAGAAGTTGCGTGAAGCGATGGATGAACGCGAAGCCGCCAAGGCCAAGGAAAGCAAAAGGATCGGAAGGCGGAAAAGGATCTGGCCCAGGGTCAGATGAAGCTGCTAGCGACCCAGAGTCATCTGAAGAATCGGAAAGCTTTGATGCGAACAAGACCCAGCCGTTCCAGAAGGCGATGGCGAAGGCATGCCTATCGTAAAAGCCTGGAATGGGCCGTGGAAGGCGCTTGGGCCTGTGTTGCTAGCTCTTTTTCAGCTGCTTAGAAGCTGCGTGTTCACCACCGAGAACACCAGCCTTCGAACTCTTCGTACGAGAGGAATGCAAAAAGTCCGTGACTGTTTCTGTACTAGGAGGAAAGTGAACCGGATGCATGCTATTCGTTGGAGACGACAAGTAAGTGGATGCAAGCGTAGTATGAGAGCACTGTTGTTCATGATGCTGATTGTCAGCTGGCTTGCTGGCTCTTAAGCGGTTCTCTTGCTTCTGTCCACTCGTGGCAGACTTGCAAAGTTGGTTTGGAGTGTAGGACGCGTGGCTTGACTCTTGCTCGGACGAGAATGCGGAAAGTTCTGCAGAGAATTGCTGCTCATCCGTGCCAAGAGCCGCAGAAGCTTGCCAAGCTTTATCCCTTTGTGCGCACCACTCATGACATGGAGCTGGAGAGGTGCCTACCGGTGCCGTGCTTGTGGTACGAGCCATAGGCTGTTCACTGACAAAGAAACTCTTAAGCTCACTCGTTCCTGTGCCTTTGCTGTGCGCGTGAGGCGGCCGCGCCATTTCAATGATCAGACGAATAGATGATCTCATGCGTATCTTTTGCCATGTCTTTTCATGCCTTGTAGAGGCGATCTGATCACGCTCTCCAGCCGTTTCTGGGAATAGGCTAGAGTTCAAAGGGCCCAATACGGGCTAGCCCTGTGGGCTGCGCGTGGATCGCCTTGGTGCGAGGGTTTCCGGAAAAAAAGATATCAGAAGGAGAGCAGAGTCTTAGTGCTCCACACAATCTCGCTGTGTCCTCAATGGTTTTAGTCAGTCCTGATGGAAAGGTAAGTGCTAGGATCTTTTACAAGAGGAATAGTTGTTGTTTGTTAGGACGTATCTCAGTTGTCA